GATGATTGATAGCCTGTATCATCACATAAACATAAAACAAGAGACCACTACACAACTATTAAAACGACCAAAATTCAGAACAGTGAAAATATCAAACACTACTGAGGATCTGAAACAACAGGAAGTGACTGTTAACTGCTGGTGAGGATGCAAAATTGGCACAGGCATTTTGGAAGACAGTCTGGCAAATGAACTCTTACTATGGTCCGGTAATTATACCCTGGATACTTATCTAACAGAGCTGAGATCTTATGTTCACATAGAATCTTTACACAGGTGTTTTTAGTGGTCTTAGCAATCACTGCCAAAATTTGGAAGTAGTAGGTCAATAGATAACTGTGATACACTGATACAATATAATATTATTCTATACTAAAAAGCCATAATAAGTGGGGGAAACAAATGCGTATTATTAAGTGCAAGAAATCAATCTGAAAAGGGTACATCCTGTATGATTCCAACCATATCACATTCTGGAAAAAGCAAAAGATGGAGATAATGAGATCAGTAGTTGCAGAGGCTGGTGGGAAACAGGGATGAAGATTTGAGGGCAGTGAAAGTAGTCTGTTTTATATTACAATGGCGTGTCGAGGGCCTTAGATATTTGCTAAGACCTGAAAATCTTCAGCATTCAGAGTGAACTTTAAACTTTGTACTTTGGTTAGCACTGATGAGACAATGTAGGTTCACTGAATGTAGCTAATGTACCACTCTGAGATAGGATGTTATTAGTGGCAAAACAATGTGTTTAGAGAGGGAACAGGCTGTACATGGGAACTCTGTCATTTCTACTCAGTTCTGTAAACAACCTAAAACAGTTCTAAACAATAGACTTTTAAAAAAGAAGCAAAACCTGGTAGTACTGCAAAATGCATGACTGAAAAGTGACCACACAGCAATCCTTTGAGGTTTTTTTTCTGCTGCATTTTCTTTATTTCAAGCCACAGATCTACTAGGTGGATCACGCAGCAAGCGGCACATAAATGAAATCAGAGTCTATGCGTTGTGTCATCACACTGAGTCACAATTGCTGGATTCTCTTCTTGCATAAAAAGTTCTTATCTCAGAAATTCATCAGTTGGCCATGATTTATGGGCTAGTTGAGAGGTACCTTGCTCCGATTAACATTACCATGCTACTTACTATAAAAAAGCCCAAACTCAGACTACAGAAGACACCAGAGTCTTCACTTTCCGGAGACTCTGTTGTAACCCAGTCCATTGACCTCATCACGGCTTTCTTCCATGTAGCGTAACGAATTTCACTTTCTTCATGATTGACATGAGGTTCAAACCGCTCCATTGTGACAACTGACAAATCCTCTGGTTTGAGACTCCAAACACTGACTCCTTCTGCGGCTCCTGCTGCCATGGCAGCACCCAGGGCAGTTGTTTCTGGCATGGTGGGCTTCATTACTGGAATACACAAAATGTCTGCCTGTAACTGCATAAGAATTTTGTTGTTGGTCATTCCTCCATCTACCTGCAAATGACTGAGGGGAATTCCACAGTCATGATTCATGGCATCCAAAATTTCTCGGGTTTGGAAACAAACAGCTTCTAAGGCAGCAAAACCGATATGACATTTGTTGGTGAACTGAGTGAGACCACAGATTATCCCTCTGGCACTGGGTTTCCAATAAGGTGCATACAGCCCTGAAAATGCTGGAACAAAGTAGCAGTCATACGAAGTACCTGCTTCTTTAGCAAGCTTTTCAATTTCCTCTGAGGTCTTAATAATTCCAAGGTTGTCTCTTAGCCAGCGAATAACAGCACCAGCTATAGCTATGGACCCTTCCAAGGCATAACATACTGGTTGGTCTCTTCCAAGTTTGTAAGCCACGGTGGTCAGAAGGCCATGTTCAGAAAATACACACTTACGGCCTGTGTTACACAGTAAGAAGCATCCTGTTCCATATGTATTTTTGGCTTGTCCATCTTGGAAGCACATTTGTCCAACCAAAGCAGCAGATTGATCACCCAAACACCCCGATATTGGCACCCCTTCTAAGGACCCAGATTTCATCAGGCCATAGATCTCAGAAGAACTCCGGGCATTGGGAAGAATTTCCATTGGGATTCCAAAGAAGTCGCAGAGCTCTTCATCCCATTCCAAAGAATGAATGTTGAAAAGCATTGTCCTGCTGGCATTTGTTACATCGGTACAGTGGACCCCTCCGTTGACTCCTCCTGTCAAACACCAAATAAGCCACGAATCAATAGTCCCAAAAAGAGCTCTGTGTCCCTCAACAGCCTTCTGAACTTGGCTTACGTTGTCAAAGAGCCAGCGAAGTTTCACTGCGCTGAAGTAAGTGCTAAGCGGAAGGCCCGTCTTGGTCTTGAGAAAGTTTTTATTTTCTGGAATTAGTTTACTCAGTTTCTCCACGGTTGCCTGGGTTCTTAGATCAAGCCACAGGACAGCATTGTAGAGAGGCTCACCGGTTAACTTGTCCCAGATGACGGTGGTTTCCCTCTGGTTGCTGACACCAATAGCCTTTATGTTGGAAATGTCAATATTGAGCTGTCCGAGTTTTTCACAGGTTTTCTCTATGCAGTCGTGGACAGACTGCAGAATTTCCTTAGGGTCTTGTTCTGCCCACCCTTCTCTGGGGAACAGCTGCTTTATTTCCACTTGATGATAACTAAGCAGTTCAGCTGTTTTTGAATTGAAAACTAAAAAGCGTGTCGAGCTAGTACCCTGGTCCACTGCCCCGACCAAAGGGTCCACAACTGCTTTCTCTGCGGCTGCCATGAAACCTGCTTCCAGCTCGCCTTGGATCAACTCTGGCTTCTCAGGTTACCAAGGGTGCTGGGCGGGGTTGGGGCCCAAACAGGGGCGGGGCAGTGGGCGGGGCCGCGGCTATCTTGGGCGGGGCCTCAAGGGGCGGGGCCTTCAGGGGCGGGCGGAGGGCGGAGCGAGGTGAGCTGGACAAATACCCAAAGTTCTTTGCACGTCCGCAGAGGCACAGGGAAAGGAAGCCTAAGGCCAGAATTTAAAAGTCTGCTTAATCACAACGTGAATGAGGCTGGATTGGATCCCAAACCCACCCCTTGAGTGGTTTTCTGGATCGCAGGTGAAGACTCCCAAATCTCAGGAAGAAAAGGGGCCCAGAGATAAGGTGCAGAGAGCCATAGCTGTAACCACGATGCATTCTGGGAGTTCTACTTTCCATTCTAGAGTTTTGTAGTTTTTGTTAGAAAAAGCTAACCCCGTTGTAGGCAAAGTCAGTACAAGAATATGCAAACTATATTCAAGTAAAACCTGCCAGATCTTTGATTTCCCTACTATTCTGCTGTAAATACAGAGAATGTAAAATACAGATTGACAGATGTGTGAAAAAAAGAATAACCATATCAGCATGTGAAAAAAAAAAAAACTGATGGTGAGCAATTAAGTCAGATAAAATAGATGATCTTAAATAAATGTTGTAAATCTGGTGATACCTAATATAAATATAATCAATTATTTTCAACACTGTCTGAAAGGTTCAATAGTTGACAATACAACATGGTTTGTTGGGAATTTTATAAAAAATTTTGTAGTGGGAAACATTTTCTTAAAAATGATGAAAATTTAAGTACGAACAAAGTAGCAGACGTAATCTGGATGTAAATCAATAAGTAAACAATAAGTGAAGAGACAGGCGTGAAGAGTCAAAGTGCTTAAATTTCCTTTTTAAACTTTATCATTTCATTCTAACAAATTTTTTAAAAAAAACTTTAATAGATATTTGTTAAAATTTTATTTTCAATTATGATTTCTTTTTGTATTACAATTATTAACACATATTGTACAAAATAATGGGTTTCATTGTGACATTTTCATACATTCATATAGTGTACCTTGATCATATCTCCCCTCCTTACTACCTCTTTTAATCTACCCGTTTCCCTTCCCTAATAGTCCCCTCACATATTTGAGAGAACACATGTGACAAAAAATACACAATACTTTTCTTTCTGAGTGAACTTATTTTGCTTAACGTGATGATCTCCAATTCCATTCATTTTCCTGCAAATGACATGATTTCATTCTCCTTTCTCTTGTTCTTTCTCTTCCTCCTCTTAATCTTTTTTTTTTTTTTTTTTTTTTTTTTTTTTTTTTTTTTTTTAGTTTTGTTTTGTTTTGTTTGAGACAGGGGCATGCTACGTAGTTCAGGCTGGCCTTGAACTCACACTGTAGCCCAGGCTGGCCAGGAACTCGTGACAATCCTACTGCCTCAGCTTCCCAAGTGCTGAGAATACAAGCATGTGCCACCATTCCAGGCTTCATTGTTGGGTCTCTAGACTGATTCCATAATTTGGCTATTGAGATAAACATGAGTATCCACCTATCTCTGTAGTACACTGACTTTGAATTCTTAGGGTATATACCAAGGAATGCTATAACTGGATCATATAGTAAATCCACTTTTGTTTGTTTTAATAAACAACAGGAATATTAAAAAAGTGTTTTGCACATTTATGTGCATTCATACATGCATAATTGAAAGTATGGGTGACAGGAAGACAATGAAAATCTAGGATTATTTCAAAAGACAGAAGAAGAGAAATGGGAAGAATAAAAAGGTTTTGGTAGATGGATTGAGATCCAACTATATTAATTCTAACAAATTTAAAATAACGCTTCCAAGAGAAAAAGTAGTCTTTTTCCTCTGTTGCTGTTGTCTTTCAGAATGAAGATTAATACAACATGATCCTTTTGATATTGAAACTTTATATTATTCCTAATAAACTAATATAAGGTGATGGATAACAATATACCCATTTTAAAGATGGAAGAATAGAATATCTTGCTTTAAATAGGAATAAAAGTTTTTCCTGATGTTCATCTATTTTTCCTTTTACTCAACAAGCTATCAATAAGTTTATCATGCTTATACATGACTTTTAGACTTTTTGGTCTCAATAAATGTCCATAAACATGGTTTTCCTATACCCGCTTTTCATGTCATGTAGGTTAAAATGCTTCTGGTCAAATACGTAAGACTAACAACTTACCTACATTTCCAGCCAGTAGTACCCTGGAACATGAATCAGTATACAGTGATGTCAGGGAAATGGCAGAATGTTTTGTGAAAGGTAGCATATCTTTCAATAGTCTTCCCTGCAGAAAGGAGAATGAAAATAAGGCTTCTTCTATGGTAAAAACATTTTATAAAATTTTAGTAACAAAACTGAATTTCTCTCTATACTGTACAGGATTTCTAAAGAATTATCTTTATCACTAAAGCATGTTTCTCTTCTTTGTAATATAAGTAATTTGAAAGTATCCATAGGAACTGATTTCTTTGAAACTAAATATCCCATAGGTATAGACAACTATTAAATTTAAATATCTAGACTCTGATTTTCATAGATTGCTTCCCTACTTGAGGTCTCCCATGACTCTTCATGCCATTCTTCTGACAGCATACCTAATTACACACTCTTCTTAAAATAAACCTTCTTTTCAGGTTTAAGTATATCTTCATTAGGAATATTGCCTCTTCAAAAATACCTGCTTTTGGATATTGGTACAAGATAAGGAAATGTAGGAGACTCAAATTAAGGTTTATTTTTTGTACTGGGAATTGAACCCAGGAAGAGGATTTTTTGTTTTTAGTACTTAAAAGGCAGCCATGGGAAAGATTTTTCATACATATTATCTTGCTTGGAGAGAAAACATTTAGCTTAGGGGGAAAAAAGATGGAATCTGCTACATGTTCTCTATATTTTAGTTAGATATAATATTTTCTGTTTTTTTTCACTCTTTCATCTGTTAGAGGAAAAACAGACATTGCTTTAATACCAATATTTTCTTAGAAATATTTTATATTTTCAAACCAGGGCTTTCACTAAAAAACTGGACCCAGCAGCCACACAGTTCTGTGTCGCTGAACCCTGTTATCTGTCACACAACACTGTTGCTTTAGGGAGGAGCCTTACTACAGGTGGGGTCACTTTCCCTGTCTCTCTGAGGACTTCATTGTCATCCTCCCCAGTTTGCTTAAGATCTTCCTTTTATCATCTTCTGTTTTCTTCCCATCCTCTAACTTGGGTCGCCCATCCTCCACCCCAAATCATTTAAAATCTTCTGATAAATTAAAGTTATTTTTTCTACTAAACAGTTTAAGTATACCCAAAATGAGGCAATACTATCTTCTAGGAGTTTTTTCCTCTAAGAATTTTTTGTATGCTCAACATGTCAATGCTCCCATATTCTTTTGTTATCTAGCTAATATCCTTTAACATTACTTAAATATCTAACACAATGTTTAGTGATGTGCTTCGCTTAAAAGTAAGATTCAAAATAGGTGACTGTTTTGATGACTTAATCTGTTGAATTTCTGTGCTGATGTGTTGTAAAGTATGAGTAACATGTTCATTGAGAGCAGGCTGCAAAACCATGCTTGGCTAGAAGGTGGCAAAATGTTGGAACGGGATGCCACACAGGAGGAGGCATTCATTGAATCGTCCTCTGTATTTTCTTCACTCTTTCCGATTCATGGGAAATGCCAGGCTCCATCACCTCCAGAGTCCACAAGCGAAGGTGTCCATCCTCATGAGCAGTGACCAGGATAGGAGGTTGAGCTTCTGCTAAATTAGCAGGGACGGGACCCTTTTTGCCTGCTAGCTGTTGCTCTTCCATTAAATCTGCATATTCACCTGTTGGAAAAATTAGTGAGCTACTATGATATTTACAGTACTTGGAATTCCAAATTTTATGGAATGTAAAAGAGGAAACAGGTAATAAAATAGCAAAACAACATATTTTTCCCCAGAAATTTTTTTTTTTTTTTTTTTTTTTTTGCTTAACTTGAGAAAAATTTATAGGTCAGAAAACAAAGCAGTCAAGCAAAGAAAAAATTTTAAATATTAGATTCTGGGTCACTGGAAAAATCTAAAAGGCTTATTTTTAGTCCTACTGCAAAAGATGTTGATGACAGACAAAAAGGATATATTCATTCCTTGTAGGTTCCACACATTCCAGAATGGCTTATAATTCTAAGTTTTAGGAAAATGAACTGGAAACTAAGAAACATTGTAATATTTTGGATTTTTAAAAACTAGAATTAACTTTTTCTTTTTGGTACGGGGGATCAAACTGATGACCTCACACTTGCCAAGCAGGTGCTTTATGCCATTGAGCTAAGCCCCCAGCCCCTTAGAATTTACATTTTAACAGATATTATTATGAGAATGGAAATTCTGCCTGTTAGACAAAAAAGTCTCATAGCATCTCAATATTTGTTCATATTAAGAACATATTCATCAAGAGAAATCTATCACATACACTGCATTTGAAAATTGCGTGTGCAATATGATTATGTTGCTAGACTGGGACTTGGGTTAGAGGGGAAAAAGTACTGTACTCCGTCATATAAAACCCTGGTTATAAACTAGCAGTTTGGGCAGAGGATAAATTTCAGTGGCATGTGTGAGGCTCTGGATTCCATCCCCACCACCACAAAAAGACAGAAAAGAAGGAGAAATTTTATTACAAAGATGAGAATGGTACTGACCTTTACCCTCGCCATCCTGTATGCTTTGCTTGCTTCCCTGAATGAGAGAAGAAAGAAAAAATACTTTTATGACATTGTAAGGATAAGAGACATTGGATGAGTAGATTCTCTAGGTAATTAAATTTGCATTCCTAAGCACTGATCTTAAACTTATTTCTAAATTAGTTCTTTGAAAAAGAGCTTGGCAGAGATTTTTGTGTTCATGAATAGGGAATTCCTAACACAACACTTTTCCAATGATTCAGGAATAGGATAATAATGAGAAAAATGAAACACCCAATGCATGCCAAATTCTTGGTATATATTATTATCAATTCTATTTACAGTCATACAGCTTAGTCTGTATAACTCTTTACCGATGAGGAAACACTCAAATCAAGTGATACCTCTAAAGCTAGTAAGATAATGAAGATCGCACAGGTTTGTAATTCAGCGCCACAGTACTGGCTTGGCAAGTGCAGGGTTGTGAGTTTGATCTCCACTAAGACTTGGATTCAAGTACAAGTCTTTCTAGCTTTCACTTTTATTAATGTAAGTTTATGTATTCCACTATGAAAGTTATTTTAAAATAGTTTAGATACATGGACAGTGTATCACTTTTATTCATGTAAGTTTATGGATTCCACTATGAAAGTTATTTTAAAATAATTTAGATGCATGGACAATGTATCTAAAAGCATGCCTTGACTCAGCACAGTTGTCTTATATGTTTATATGTTCTTTGACCTATTAGTCTGGTTTTCAATCTGTATATATGACAATTAACTTTATAAGGTCTTATAAATAAATCTGATGCTGGAAAAATAAAAGGAGATGAACGGAAGGCAAAGAAAGAATTGAAATGTGTTATGTATATATGCCAATTTTCTACAGTGAATGTAATCATTATGTACTGTAAACATGTACTAATATAAGTTTAAAAAATTGCTATGAAAATGTTCTTTCAAACAAAATTCTAATTCAAAATATAATGTGTAAAAATATGTAAAGTTGGAACTGAGAACACAGTTTGAAAGCCACCGTATTCCATTATGTGTTGCAATAAATATATTTATATCACAAGCTGTCTCTTTAATCCTGTGAAACATAGTATTTTTAGAAAAGGATATAGTCTAAAATTTCTTTTATCTATTATCAAATGAATGTAAAAATAACACACTTTTTTCTATTATCAAATGAATGTAAAAATAACACACTTAATTTATCTTATTTGCAGTGCTGGAAATTATACCCAGGCCCATTCTAGGCAAGTGCTTTACCACTGAGCTGCATCCCAAGCCCTTTTCCCTTGAGACATATTCTCATCAAGTTTCCCAAGCTGGCTCAGGCATGAACTACTGCCTCAGCCTCCCAAATAACTGGCTTTATATGCATGGATCACTGAACCTGGCTGGATAATTTACTCTATTAACAATTGCATATTGATTATTTGCAAATGTGGAGGTCTTGAAAAAAAGAAAAGATGCAGATATTGGTTTTTAAAAATTCTTTTACAAATTCACGTTGAATTTCTACCTTTGCCTTCCATTAAAAGAGGGACTGAGATACTCTATTTCTGAGCCAACCTTGGGTATAACAGGAAGACCTGTGCTATTTCTGGCTCACCTTGCTACTTTGTGCACCTTTGCTAGATTCACAATGGGATGAAGAGCATATGGATTCTTGACTCAGTCTCCTACAAAAGGAGGAAGGAATACCAAGGATGAAAAGTTAAGGCTTTCTCTCATATTCAAAGTAAACACTCTTTGAATTTCAGTTTTAATTTCAGTTGATTGCTTCTTTCATCATCTGTGGATACTGGGCCACTCAGGAAACCACAAACGCCTTGTAGTTTGTGTAACAAATGTTCATTGGTGTAGTATTGGTAGGGCCTTAGCAATTGAGGTGTGCTGCTTCTTGCTCTGCCCTGTCCCACTGCTACGCTAGACTTAGTTCCAGGAGCTCTGATATTGAAATGACTAGCAGTAGCATAGTGGTAGAGAGCATAAGAAGCCTGGTTAACTTCCTGAAGAAGCCTGGTTGACTTCCTGAAAAAGCCTGGTTGACTTCCTGAAGAAGCCTGGTTAACTTCCTGCTGCACAGTGGATCATTCTGGCCTGATTCTGTTTTTGCTGTGCTTCTCTGGAATGGGCTGAGAAGTGACTTAGGGTCCTGGTGCAGATATACACTGAATGAACCCTCAAAACAATCTCCGAATGGTTTTTGCTGAAATTTCAAGCCAATGGGTAGGCAAGGGAATGTGATATATTTTGGCTCACCAATGGGTGACTCCCAGCCAGCACAGAAACCTTTGATTTCTCCTCAGACGTGTTTTACATTGTTGTCTGAAAACCAGAATTCCCAAGCAAATATAAATAAGGAAAATGCTTTATCTTACACACTAAAAAGAATTCTCCTGCTCTCTCAGATATGGATGGCAATTGTTTAGTTGTATTAGATGATATGTGAAAGCTGCAAGATGGTCTTCTGTCCTTGCATGCCAAGTTCTACTGTTCGGTTTACACCGCTAATGTCAGTGTTAGATTTTGGAAAAAAGCATGGCCAAATGAGCATTTTCATTTTCCATTTCTGCCACTGTGGTAAAGGATGCTGTGAGGCCGACATGATCAGGAACCACACAGCACATCAGATCCCTGAGGGCCGCTCCAACTACATGAAAGATGATGAGAGGGAAGAAAGGTGAAAACTAGCAATTGAACTTACGTCTTTCCAGTGTTTCTTCCTTAAGCCTAGGATACCGAGAACTCTATGTCACCTACATAGATCCTAGCTGGGATCACTTGATCAATAAGTACTACCTTTACCTTGCACATTCAGGGGTACGAAAGAGGAACAGTATGTCATTAATTCTAAAGCGCTTGGGATCCGGGTCTAGGTCCACAGTGGAGCAATCTTCAGGTCGGTACCTAAAAAGAATACATTTGCAAGATAAACTTCACAAATTATTCATTGTATATCCCATACAGACCCAAACAACTCCTAGAATGTTGGTACTTTGAACATAAAGCAAAACTCAGAGGTGGAGTTTGACTGTGTTTTTTAAAAATACAGCTTTGTGCTCTGCATGATTATTTAATGGTTTAAGAGTCTTAATTCAATGAGACGATAAATCTTCCTGTCTATAGGTTAGAGTTTGAACTTGTATAATCCTGTGGAAGAATCTGCTGGAGACCTCATACAATTTAAAATTTAAGTAATAGAATTCTACTCTCTGAATATATGGAGTGAAGATTTGAATAAAAACATGGCTCTAACCCTTAAGAGCTTATAACTGAATAAAGAACAAGTAATTTCATGATTACGTTGCTGTTCCTGCTCAACTCCTCTGTTGACTCAGATTCCAAGACTGATACACCTTCCTAGGTAGTGGCTTGGAAACTGAGTAACTGCTCCTAACTACCTACACTGGCACTTCATGTTGGTTCCTGGAATTGCACTCAGTGCTTCTTGTAGCAAACTGACCTTTTAACAGAATGCCTCTCTTCCTTTCATGGGAATGCTCTGACAATTTGAGGTAATGAGTGATTACCTTAGTTTGGATCTGGAAGTATCCCATAAAGACTCCTGTGTTAGCGACTTGGCCCTTGTTTGGGAGATGGTGGAAACTCTGAGTTGAGGCCTAGTGGGAGGTCTTTAGGCCACTGTGGGTATGACTTTGAAGGGGATAGGGGATGCCACCACTTCCTCACTTCCTTTTTTTTTGCTTGTCTATTGCAATATGAGCAGCCTTAATATGATGTGTTTCTTTGCTTCAGAGTTCAAAGCAAGAGGACCAATTGATTGATCCAACTGGAACCTCTGCAACTGTGCCTCAAAATAAACTTTTTCTCTTATTAAGTCAATTATCTCAGATATTTGTTATAGTAATGGAAATCCGACTAACACAGTGATTGAAGGGGCCATTTGGGGAGTGGACCACACTCAAAAGACAAGTTAATGGCTTAGTGATTTGTCAAACTTTTTAGATATTTTTGCTGATGGCTTATTTTTCTTAACTGGTGAAGAGCTCTTAGGCATGGTTTGAGGTAGATGAATAAATGCCTTCCATTAAGAAAATGGAAACCATTTGCAGTTTTGGAACCTTTCGGGCTGCCCCTCTTTAGGCTGTGGCTTCAGCACTGGTTATTTGATTCCATTTGCTTTCACTTCTTAGTGGTGAGTCATACCTAATGTGGCACGTCGAGAGTGAAAACTGTTTTAATAAGGTGAGGAATGGTACATATGGATATAGGTATCAAATGACAAGTGTACAGTTGGAAAAAAGGGTGGAAAGGCGAGGATCTAAGAAAAGAAATAGAAGGGTGGTAAGAATTATAGGGATAGGGCCTGGGAGAACACAGGTTAAAGTGCAGAGACGGGTGTGCAGAAATAAATATTTAAAATAAAGCTCAAAAAGATAATAAATCCAGTGTCCAAATAAGACAGGCTTATTTATTCTCAAAAGGTGGCTAAAAGTGATGACTGATGATTCAAACCTGGGTAGGAAAAGAGTGTGGAGTCCAGGTAGACAAGCAGGAAGCGAGGAACTGTAAATAGACGGAGGTTGCTTATGAATTTTCATCTTTTCCTTTGTCCTTCCAAAATTTATCTTCTCTCCTTTATATATCCTTTCCCCTAAATGCTTATGTATTTTAAATTTTTAAATTTATTGTTAAGAACTTGGTCGTCCTATTCCTTTAAAATTTTATAAACTCTTTTGACCTAGAGAGTTAACATATGGACTTTGTACGCATCTGGGGACAGGCTTGTAATTCACAGCACATCTATTCAAATAATATAATGTTACCTCAGTTTCTTTATAACCAATAACAAGAATATTTAGAAATGGATGGCAGGAGAGGGTAAAGACTTTAGTCATGATACACAGCGTCTCAATCTGAGTGGCTGAGATATAAAATTGTGCCTCCTACATTAGCCTTGGTTAGCACCATCCTGTAACAAACTGAATATGTTAGTGAATGAGAAATAATGCTATACCAAAGGCCTATCACCATTTGACACTGGGGCTGAGTAGGTGGTGGCAGCCCTGGAAATATAGGAAGAGGAGAAGTTTGGGGAGGGTTAGTTTGGGAAGTAGTTTTAAGTATTATGAGGCTTGAAAGGATCTTGGGAGCAATCCAGATGGAAAATGCCAGTACACAACTGGCTATGTGTGTGTTTGAAGTTGTCATGATATTGGGGTTGGAAATCATTATGAATCTTAAGTATCTTTTGAGGTCATACATTGGGAAGAGATCACACATGAAAGGTTCCTCTTTACATATCATCCTGAAATTCAGACATAAAGAAAACAGTCTGTTCGTGAATACAGTGTAACTTCCAAGAAAGCCTTCCTTGAGAGTCATCCATCTCTTTTTTCTATTACTTTTTAAACTATTTTTAGTATTTTGACTATTACTAGTATCTTGACTATTATATTACTTAAGGCAAAAACACAACTTACACTTCTTTGACAGTAGATGCTACAAAATTCCACAGGATGATCATACCATTTAAGGTTCCAGCAACTATCAAGTTATATCCTTCTATTTGTAATAAATCAATGCAGTTCACTCCAAAACTAGTGGCAGAATTCTAAAGAAAGAAAGAAACAAATTCATTGACTATAAGGAGTAGAATTTATAACCATATAAAATGATATATGTATACGTTGCGTAATTGTGATGAACAATACAAAATGTCTGATTTTTTAAATCATAGAGCATGACATTTAGCAAAATTTAGCATCAAAAATTAAATATGCAAAATTCATTAAAATGGATGAAATTCTTTTTCCTTTAGCACTGATTTATTCTTTCTTACCAATCCTTGCAGTGCCATTCTATCTGTTTCTTTTCTTTTCTTTTTTTCTTAGACCTGGGCATCAAACTCACAACCACCCACTTGCCATGCAGGCACTTATGCTGCCTCGCTAAAGCCCTGGGATCTCTTTCTTTTCTTTTTCTTTTTTTTTAAATTTTATTTAAAAGGAAAAAGAGAAAAAACAAAACAAAACAAAGCGGTGTAAGGGTACAAGTAATACAGAACTACAAAAAAAAAAAAAAACCAGTAAGAAATCACTAGTTAATAGATTACATATTATCATCTTATAGATAGTTGCTCAAGTCACAGTATCAAAGCATACAAAGTGGACATTCAAACAGTGAGACTGCAAACAGTTGTGTTCAATGATCCAACCAAAAACATTAATATGGTCAGCTATTTAACACCCCTAAACACACTTGCTGTTGTATCCTTTAGAGCACTTTTTTTCCTTCTCTTTTTTACAACAAAATTTACACATTTTGGGTTTTATTACTCCTTAGTTCTTATTACTTTTTTAGGGGGGAGAGAATAAAGTCAAATATGGCAAAACAAAGCTGTCAGTCAAAACCAAGGATAGACATAGCACATGATGCAAAAACAAGAGTACAAGGTTATCAACAATGGTTACCATATTGTCTCTTGTTTCCCTCTTTCTTTTCTTCAAACTTCTTGAAAGAATATTCTACATTAGCTGTCTCCACTTACTGATCTTCCACTTTGAACCCCTACTTTCTTCTGCTCCATCCCCCTCTGTAACAGTTTTTTCTATTTATCATGAAGGACTTCATACTGCCAGTTCTATATCCTACTTTTCAATTGCTTTACATATTTATTGGATACCTTGGGTTCTTGCAATACAGAACCAAATAAGTCTATGTATTCATATGAATACTTGTGCAATTTGAAAGTGTGTAAGACTTGATGGGAACCTTGAAGAATGACATCCAAATTATATTGGAGGTCTGTTACTCTTGCACCTTTTGAGTCTTCTCTGGTTTCTGAAACACTTTACTTTCTTGGCATCAGACTGTGGTGTTTTTTTACCTGTGTTATGACTGGGATTTTCAGTGTACACCAAAAGCCTCTATGGCAAAGGCTGAGTTGCCAGCATGTGCTGCTGTTGGGAGGTAGTGGAACCTTTAAGAGGTGGAGCACAGCAGAAGGAAGTTAGGTCAATAGAGGATGTGCCCTTGAATGGGATATTGGGACCTTAGCTTCTTTCTCTCCCTCTCTTTTGCTTCCCAGCTGCCATGAAGTGAATAGTTTTCTCTGAGAAGTGCTTCCACCATGACATGCTGCCTCACTGCAGGCCCAAAAGCGAAGGGCCAAGAACCAAGGACTAAAACCTTTGAGAAATGAACCAAAATTGAAACATTTCTTCTTTTAAGTCGTTTATCTCAAGTATTTTATCACAGTGGCGGAAGGCTGAGTAAACAGCTTGTGTCTCCATGGTGTTTTTTCTTGTTTCTTACCTGGTACTTTCTTAGTTTGCCCATCTTATATTTATTAATATCCTTAGGATTTAACCTTTCTTTTAACTCTTTGTAGGCAATCTCATTTCTTATGTTTTAATAATCACCCTAATATTAATATCTTAATAATCTTCAGACTTGAATATTTAATTACTACTAAGAAATTGTACAGGTGTCTCAAAGTTAACACGACTAGGCTGTTGCCTTCCTCAAGCGTGTTCTTAGAACTGTCCTTGATTCCTCTCCCAACTGCATGGCATCCATCACAAATCAACCAATCACTTTTCTTGTCTAAATACTTTTAGAAACCTTCCATTCCACACCATTCAGCCCCATGATCATGACCTTCTATCTTTCTACTAAAACAGTAGCCTCTTGCCTGAATCTTCTGCCTTTGGACTTGTCCCATTCAAATCTGTAATCTAAGCAGCATATAAACAACCCACAACACAAATCTAATCACAAAATTTCTCTTTGAAAGCCATTCAATGAGTTCTACCTTGCTATAGGATGCTCAGGTCCTTAACTAGGATGCTCAGGTCCTTACAATCATGAGCACAATAGAGTCCCTATCTGGTTCTTCACTTCCACCTTTTACCACCCAAATCTTACTCCAGTTACACAGAGATATTTGTAGTTCACACTCACAGACCGTGAGCTGTTTTACCTCCATGACTTTAATCATGTTGTCTTCCCCACTTGGGATTCCCTTTGTCTTTTTACCTCCCTTTAGAAGCTCCTACTTGGGTCACACTAAGTCCTGGTAATCTTTATGTGAATTTGAGGATTATCTGATTCAGGAACTTCCCTTTCTCCCCAGCCCTCCAAGTTCTCTGCTATGTTCATATAGTGTAAGACTCAGTGCTAAGAACAGCACATGCTAAGCCAGGTGTGGTGGTGCACACCTGGAATATCAGCACTCAAGAGGCTAAGGCAGGAAGAGCACCGTAAATTCAAGGTCAGACTGGGCTATGTAACTGAGTTCAAGGCGAGTGTAGATTACATAGTGAGACCTTGTAATAATAAACCATCACCCCCCCCAACAGAAAACAAAACAAAACCCAGAATAGCACATGCTAAATGGTAGGTGTGCAATAAGAAGTGCTTCATAAATGAAAGACTTTTAAGAAAAAAATTTCCATGTACAGTCTAATTTTTTTCCTGTGGTTTTTGCACTTTCTCTACAGAGTGATTTTAAAGCATGCTGAGGTGCTATAGTGCTAATTATGATAAATAAAAATAATTCAAAATCAGAAATAATTTACACTTGCATAGAATCTTAAAAGGTGCTTTTATTGTACACCAATAATTTATTGCAATTGTTTTTTTCAAAGTAGCATTTTTCATGACTTACACAATTACTTGCCAACTGTGTTGGTCCTAACTCCCTTTTTATTTATCTTCTTTCCATTTTGAATGGCTACAAACTAGGTTTCATTCATCATATACACATGACTGAACTTAGGGTTGTCAGTGATCTCTGGAGTTGGAAGGAGAAATAGGCCAGAATTACTCTATGACAGGGTGCAGTCTGCACTTTATTTTTGAATACAATATGTCATAATGTTATTATGACACAAACACTGTGTAGGTTAAGTTCAAAGTCTTATTAGCTAATAATAAAACCTATTTATTCAAATTAGAAATGAACAGATTTCAAATTATACTGCTGAACTGACATTTCAATATGATAAAAACAATAGTATCTCTATTCTATAATAAAATGGTGAAATGATAGTTTGAAAATGTTATAAAGCAAATTGCATTGCTGTTGTTTCAATAATGGTAAAGAGGAAGCACTGAAGACTTTCTTCAATTGCTCCTATAACACTCAGTTTTCTTGCAGTCTTTAGTATCTGGCCACTCATTTCTGTAAAAGCTAAAAAATGTGAGTGGTTTGAGCCAGTATTGCAGCAGAAAATACCTCCTTCTCCCAGCCAGTGTACTTATTTGTTAGTTGCCAGGCAATATAGCTAATGTTCCAGAACCAGTTGTTCCTGTCTCTTAGAAATGGGTGGTCACTGTGGTGCACCATGTATAAACCAGTTCCCAGTTGAGAAACCATTCTGCTTCTGTACTTCCTGCTTGCTTATCCCATATAAGCCCTAGACCACTAGAGATACTCTGGGAATGATCCCAATCAGTGCCTGTTGACATAAATAAATCTGCTTCCAAATCCTGAGTGTTGTTTTGTGTTTCTGCTTGCCATTGCAGTATTAGAGTACATAAATAAGGTTAACAAAGACTCTCATTTTTAAAAAATGACTGATCTGTTTATAGGATCAAACAAAGAGATAATTTTTCTCACTTTTCTGTCCTTCAGCTTCAATGAATGCCCTAAGCACATGCACCTGCTCTGCTGAGAGAGGGTGAGCACTTCACAAAAACAGCTTCTGAAGAGATTTTAAATTAAGCTATCTAATTCAATATGCAAGCTACTTCTGAAATATTGTGAAATGTATTCCAACTATAGTTAGTAGTTATTAACAAAATGATGCTGCTACCAGAGTGAGGTGAGAAGCTTAAAATGAATTAAAGCTATGAAAAGATAAAAATGGAGTTTCATCAACTGACATTGAAACATCTATTTAAAAGGATATGATGTAAAAGTGATGAAATATTATCCAGAAAATGTGAACCATCATCTTGTGACCTTTTACTATGATCCCAAACTTACCTTCTTATTAAAAGCTAGGAAAATTTAAAAGACTTTGCTCTTTTCAAATTAGATACAATAAGTAGGTAGATAGAGAGACAGGTAAGATGTTTTGGAATGAATGGATTCCCTATGAAGCTTGCAGAGCACATATGATTGTTTCTAAGTCATTCTTCATAGCCAGAATTCCCATCTACTCTCATCTTCGTAGAAGTTAGTATTGCCATGGCAAAAATGACCACACACAAAACTAAAAACACTAATAAGAATCTTTAAAATTTGGAAGTAAATTACAGAGGACTCATCCTAAATAAATATTCATAAGAATGTGCAAATATATATATTCCTAATATCTGAAAAGCTTCTTAAACATTAGAAGCAAAAGAACAATTACTTGGATAGAAAAGTGAACAGAATACATGCACAAATTCATACATGTATACCAAAAATGGTCTGCTCACTGCAAGAGAAATGTAAATAAAATATATAAAGTTGTGATTTTTAAATCTAGATTGAAAAATTTTTAAAGTTTGACAATTCATACTATCAGAATGGGGAAACAGACTCTATTACGAGAATTTTGTGATGACCATGGAGAATCTGACAACATCTAGAATTACATAGGATCTGTTTTTGAGCCAGAAGTTGTTCTACTATGAATATATCTAAGATTCATGGTCAAAATTTTGAAACTACATATTATTTTTCAAAAATGCATATGTAAAAGATTATTTATTAAAGCTTAAATTCAATTTTAAATCAGAATTAAAGTGGAAATCAGAAAAGATTGAAACAACCAAAATGCCCACCCACAGGGAAACTAGTTGAATAAGCTATGTTACATCTATTCCAATAAAATACTATTGCATTTTCAAAAAGAAAGATGAAACGTGTACAGCCATGTTCATAATAACATTATTCTCAATACCCAAAAGTTAGAAATAACCTAACTTTCCACTGAGATAAATAGCTAAAAAATGTGTGGTTTATGCATATAGTGGAATGGCGTTTAGTCTTAAAAAGGAAGGACGGTCTGACACATGCTACCACATGGATGAACTTCTAAGATATAATATTAAGTGAAACAAGCCAGTTACAAAAGAATAAAAATGCATGTTTTTCTGCTTGTATCAGGTACCCAGAGCAGGTTAATTCACAGAAACAGAAAGTAGAATGGCACTTGGGAAGAGCAGAGAAGGAAGAGGAATGAGAAGCTATTGTTTAATTTTGCAATATTGAAAAGAATTTCAGAGATGGATGGTAGTTATACAACAATGTAAATGTACTTACTGGCCCTATTTGTAAACTTGAACGCCTAAGATGGTAGATTTTATGTTATGTATATTTTATCATAATTTTTTTAAAAAGCTACCACTATATGATACAATATACATCTTTTAAAGATCTCCAGAATGTATTATTAAATAAAATATGCAAAGAAAATACAAATGTATGTCATGTCATATCATTTGCTTAGGAAGAAGTGGGAAGGAACCAAGTAGTGATTATATTTTTAAAAATAACATTAGAGACATAACCCAAAAACTTAAAAACAGTTATAGCCTGGGGTAGCACAAGATAGAAGGGATAGGTCTAAAAGGTAGACCAGACCTTGTTTTGTACTTGAGAAAATGATTTGTTTTATAGATTTGATTTTGTAAATATCTAAATATTTTAAATAACAATGAGAAATAAAACATTTAAGAGCAATAAAACAATGAATTAAGTGTATTTAACTTGGTATAGAGTTGATAGCACAAAAACATTGAAGTTTCACACTACACTGCAACTCAGACATGCCAAGGAAAGAAGAACTTAAGCTGGCTCAGCATCATATTTCTAATAATTGTATTGTTTTCCTGAAACTGTACTATAATATAACACAATATGACATAGATGACATAGTATGGCACAAATTGCTCATATGTTATAGAGGGTATAATTAATAAATTATAGCATAAACAAGCAAGTGTTACTTTAATGTCATTAGGAGTAAAGGTTTTCTATGAGACAAAGAAAAAATAAAAATGGCAAGAGACATACATTCGATTTGAATTGGAAATATCAATGCAAACTAATGATATTTTCTTCAAAATTTTTCTTAGCTCTGCCATTGAAAAGCTAGTTCTTAGCCCAGTTGAAAAAGCTCTAAGTACAATCACTACCTTTGTGGCAATGAGTATCTGCAAACCTCACACTATGGTCTCTTAATACTGTTTCCCGCCAAAAAGAAGAAAGTTTTCTTGGAAAAATAGTATGTTCTAGATCAGAAGCTAGAAATATGCAGAGAGTCTGGAACACTGTCTCATATCAGGAAGCTATATAGAAATACCGGGGTCCTGTCAAAAGAACTCATGAGTTTGAAGAGGTGACAACTAGTCTGAGATAGGACAATTTATTAATAATAACAACACATGCATTGACTTAAAAACATCAAAACTACTTAACCGTGTGAGTTGATAATGATACTAAGCAAATAAAGTTCACTGTCCCTCTTAGATGCTAAGCTATCTACTCTTAATTTTGAAGCCTGATAATTACAGAGAATGGACTCATTATTTTGCATGTCTGTATGAGCTGTATCTTTGTGGCAAATATGTGGCAAAAGAGAAATTTTTTAAAAGATACATTCCATTAATAAATGAAGCTTAATGAGAGAAATGACAAAATGATACAATAGATCTAGTTAGTGATCATCAGTGGATGCTGTCACACAAGTCAGACAACGAACCATACTCTGAATCTTGGTGGAATAACACAATCATGACACAGTCTCGATGGAGACTTGGTAAAGAAAAAAAGTCAAAGTTGAATTCACTAACTAGATTTAACTTGTAGATGACAGGAAGTATAGAAGAACTGCTTATATGATATTAAGAAGATATAACTAGCAAAATCTAGAACATGGGAAACCATGGAAAGAAAGAGAATGGATATTGGTGACCATGAATTCACAATGGCTAATTTTGCATACTTTCCTAAAGTATAAATGGAGGTTTGGGATTATAGCCTCACCCTTTTGAGACTTTCCATTAATTCTTGGGATGGGCCACCCTCTCCCACCCACTAAGACTAAACTAAAATTTCTAAAACGAAAAAGAACACACCAGAGAAAGATCTTTCTTAGCATTAGATCATCTCCACCCTCTTGAGTCATCCCAGGATTATCCATTGCCTGCAGTGTCACTGACCTTTCAATTTTCTGCTGATCTGGAATCTCCTACTAACCCCTCCTATTTTTGTGTACGTCCATTGCATTGTACACACCCAATAAATAGTGGCTGGAGTATCTGGGGTTTTGCTCATCTTGAGGTGCTGGCCTCCCAACCCCCCATCATGCATTACTAAATTTGTCTCTGTTTCTTATTTTATCCTTTCCACCGTACCACACATAAAGGAAGTTGGGGATCTGGGCCAGATCCTCCACATTGATGGAGAGAGATGTGTGCATTAAAAAAATATTTAATAGATTTGTCAATTGAATACAACAAATGGAGTTGTTTGAATCCTAGTTGGAAAAAAGAATAAAGAGTATTGTGAGGCAATCTTGGATATTTGAATACTGAGCAAATATGTGATGACAGAAATTATTTTTGTAAATTATTTTCAAAAATATTTTACAGAATAATGGTATCCTCACTTTTCAAAGAGTCATCACTGAGAGAATTTTACTGAAATCTTTAGCAATGAAATGATATAGTCTCTGGATTGGCTCCCAGGTCTATAATTTGTGGTCTTGAAGAAGCAGGAGGAATAAAGAACAAATTTGAATATATACAAAATAGTTTTGAAGTTTAGACATAGTACATAGAAGTTTGTCAGATTACTTTATGTACTTTTATATGCAGTATGTTTGTAATTATCCATAACAAAAAAACTAAAAATATCCAAAAAAATAAAACTTACATTAGTACATTGAGACGAATTTCCATGAATGATTAATTCAACATCTGGAAAAGGAATAGCCACATTCTTATCTTTAGTAGAAGTCTTCAGTTGCATAGTGTGGTTCCCATCATGAAAATAAGGCATGACATCTGGCAGCTCCCATATCACCATGAGGAAAGTATCCTCTTCCCTACCCTGTAACACAAATTCAATAAGTAGATGAAAAGTTCAATTAATTTATTTTGAGCTATACTAAAGAGATAGATAAAGAATATACTGATGTATCCACTGTCTAGTTTTACTAAATCTTGAGCCCTCTTGTACTGGTCACCTTTCTGGTTTCAGGGACCGAATACCTAACACACAACACTTAAAGAGTTTATCTGGCTCCTGGTTTCAGCCCATGGTGGCTGGCTCCAAGACAGGAAGAGGAATATCGGCAGAAGGGTATGGAGAAACAAAGCTGCTTTGTTTATGGCAGTGGAAAAGCAGAAAAGGAAAATGGTGCCAAGGGCCAGATAAAGTACCCAAGACCACGCCCCCAAATCTACAAGCACATTTACCAATCCCCTAGAACAGTGACGGCGAACATTTTAGAGCTTTCAATAATACAAACAGCCCACTGCGGCACGCAGGTTCACAGTTCGCCAACACTGTGGCCTAAGCTGTTCTCAAACCAGTCAAGTTGACAGCACAACCATCACACCTGTGATCCTTACAAATGTGATCCTTACAAATGGGATCCTTACAAATGTGATTGATCCTTACAAATTCCCCTTTCTTCTCACTCAGAGTAAACAGCAACCCAAATGTAGTATTAATCATGAAATTTTACTACTTCCACAAGCACATAATATATGGTCTCTATGTGTATGACATTGCTTTCAGAATTTTAACCATTTCATAAAAATTATGGTTTCTTATTCAACTGGCTTATTTCACTCAGTTTTATGTTTTTGAGATGTAGACAGGTTATTACATGGAATTCTAGCTCACTTTTTAATATTTTATTTTAAAGAGAAAAAAACACATACAGAAAAAACAAAAACAAAAAGCAAAAGAGACAAACAACAATAATCTCCCCAGACAATAGCAATATAGGATTTTAAAACAAGATGGTAGGAATTTAAAAAGGTTGTTATAGTCCATATTGTTATTTTCAAAAGATTGGCTTAGATTACTAGATATAGGTAAGCAAAATTGATCTGATCATACAAATATTAACTGTCCTTTTTCAAGAACTTATATACATAGGGCTGGAGATTTAGCTCAGCGGCATAAGCACCTGCCTTACCTATTCCTATACCTTTTACCTATTCCAGTTATCTTTCCCCTTTGAGCAATTTCTTGCTCTTTCACATTATTTATTGTAGATTTTAGACTTTATTTAGTCTTTCAATTTCTTACACTAGGGAGACAATATGGTATTTACACATGTGAGTTTGATTTATCTCATTTATGAGAATGGTCTCAAGTTGCATCCATTTACCTAAAAAAGTCTCAATTTGATCCTTCTTTATAGCTGAGTAGTACTCTATTGTATAAAAATACCACATCTTTTTATCCATTCCTTAGCTGATATGGGCATTTGGGTTGTTTTCAAGATTTGGCAGTTACAAATTGTAACTGCTATAAACATGGGTGCATATATACCACTATGGTACGATGTTTTATTCTTCTGGGAAAACAGCCAGAAGCAGCATAGCTGGGTCAAATGGAGCCTCTAATCCTAGCTTTTTGAGGAATCTCCACACTGATTTCCACAGTGGTTGCACCAGTCTACATTCCTGTCAATACTGGAGGACAGTTCCTTTATCCTCACAGCCCCTGCAGCATTGTTGATTTCTTGATGTTGGCCATTGTTTCTCGAGTGAGATGGAATCTCAGCATTGTTTTAATTTGCATTTGTCTAATGATCAATGATGCTGAACAATTTTTCATGTATTTATTTACTTTTATATTTCTTCATCTGAGACGTGTATATTCATTTCAGATGCCCTTTTTTGGATTGGGTCTTTGAATTTTGGGGGCTTAATTTTTAAAAATTCTTTATATGTTCTAGATAGCAGTCCTTGTCTCAGGGGCAGTTGGCTAACATTTTTTTCCCAATTCATGGGTTTTCTTTCACTCTGTTGGAGATTTATTTTGACATACAAAAACTTTAGCTCATTTATTTTTAACTGCTTTATGAGTATTCTACAATTTATCCTTTTTTTTTTTATAATGGTGTTGCCAGTTTTTCCCTGCTTGTCTTTATGAGTGGGTTTCAGTTTCTACAGCATCTGATTGGAGCACAATCATTGAATTATAAGATATGCATATCATCGACTTTATTAGATGCTGCCACATGGCTCTTCCTGGTAGGGATTATGTGTGTTTACTTGGACTGGGCATGGATAATAGTTCCCTTTCCTTTTCTTGCTTGCTAATACTTAAAATTATTTTAATAAAACATTTTTGAGGCCTATCTGATAAAATGGAAATGAAACATTTAAAATTAGTTTTAAAATATATTAATTACGTTAACCACATTCCCTCATTGTTAGTGAATTGGACTATTTTTCACATGTTTGACCCAGAGTTATCTGGTTTTCTTTACCTGGCCTTTGTCTATTTTTCTGAAAATCAGCCTTTGGTGCTCTTCTGTCAACCTCCTGCATGGATTTTTTAGATTTCTTTAGATAGTATGGCTCCTAATCCTTCTTAGTTATTTGAAGTAGAATGGAGTATCTCGTGACTCATGGTTTTTTGAAGACAAACATGTTTCAGATTTGTAATGCTTGTTAGGAGTGCAAAATGCCCCCAAATGTCTCTCATATATCTACTGTTGTCAATCTTGCCAGAGATTTCTTATTTATTTATTTTTATCAATCCTTAACGAGCACCTACTCTGGAAAGGTCAGTAATATAAATGTAAGAGTGGTATTGTTCTTATCAAGTTTAATCTACAGATTTTGAGTGGAGAAACAGAACAATCAAAGTGAAAAATACTACAATTAAGCCCGAATAATTTGGATGTATCAACAGTACCACCCGTCATTTCAAAAGGGAGGATTTGTGACAAAAAGCACTTTGTTGGGAAGGGCACCCTGATGATCAATCACATAAATTTAAAGGTGGGAAATCAACAGCTTGCTGTGCTGCAGAGTGTGTGACCAGGAATTCTGCAGTGCCTTTTTGGATTGTGCGGACAACAAGGGTAGAGAATATTAAATGAGGGGAGATTTTCACTCACTTTTTTCCCATCTAAAAGATCATTAGTCATCTTAATCAATGCTGGTACTTCATGATTGCTATTCAAGACTTGTTTTCTAATTTTAGCTTCCAGAAAGAGAATAATAAAGGCAATGAGTCCTTGAGCTCATGCTAACAGGGTGAGATCCACTCAGCCAGGATAAAAAAAAATGTAACCTTAATTTTGAGTTTGAAGAAGACATTAGTATTCCCAGGCGGTGATCAATTCACAGGAAAAATAAATTAGCCTATTTCAATCTTTCCAAAACAGTCCTGAGTAGATTGCGTTATTAACCTTAAAATAAACAGGGCAATTTTAGTGACAAGCAGAAAAACTGCCTTGAGCATTTCTGAATGCAATATGGACTATAAGGGACAGAGCCTGCTGTGGAGCAGTTGTGAGGAGCAGTGAATTATTCCCTAAGGAAAGTATAAGCAATATCAGCAGTGGCATCTGCGTGTAGATTTCACTTTTCTGAAACCTCTGTTACAAGTTCCTGACAAATCCTGCAACAAGAGCTCGATGGGCAGCATGTTGCCTGGGTAACACTCTTTTTTGCTTTTTTGCAAAGTTAATTAGGAGCATCTCAGGAAAGTCAATGTTATATTCAACTAGCTATCAAGAGGGAAGTTAAGTAGAGATTATCTACTGACTCATTTGATTTTCCCAAAACCATCACCGACAGTACAAATGTAAGAATGAGGCTGCAAACCTGGATCATTTTGATAGTCCCACTGCACTCCAAGGCAAGGATGAAGTACTGGTGTTTGTCCTGAGCGTGCAGGAAAATCAGGTGCTTCACCCAGTGCTCTTCCTCTTTCCAGTCTTTCCCTTCCAGCAGCACTTTCAACTCCTGCCCACTGCTGAAGTCCCAGATTTTGACTGTTCCTTAGCACACAGAGAAAAGACTTCATGAATAAAATGCTTTGTAGAAGCCTTAACTTTCAGCTCAGATAACAGTGATTTGATTGAAAACTCAAGACAATTGATTCTATATTTCTTTCTTCCTAACTGAGCCTCCTCAGAGAATGGACATGAAATACATTTCTGTCTGAATTTGTCACCAACTTATAAAAAACAACCAGGATCAGGCAGTGTCTTGAAATCTATGAATGATCTTTGCTATGGTTTGGATAAATATCACTCAAAGGTCCTTACGGTAAAGGTTTGGGTTCTAACTTGGCAGGATGATGGGAACCTTTAGTAGAGTCTGATGAAGGAGATTAGTTCATTGGGGAGGTGGCCTTGCGGAGTTGCAGGACCCTGACCCTTGTCTCTCTTTCATTTCCCAGATGCCATAAGGTGAGCAGTTTTGCTCTACTACATTTTAACTGCCACAGTGTGTTGCAATAGGCACAAAAAATACCACTGGCCCAGGGACCATAGATTGAAGCCTCTGAAACCATGAATCACAATAAACCTCTCCTTCCTATAAGTTGATTGCTTAAAATCTTTGTTATACTAATAGGAAATTGACAGTTTTCTTGAAAACTCCTGGACTTTCCTATCTGAGCTTTCTTTCTTAAATAGATCTTTTCATATATTCTCCCAGTGCTTTTCAGTTTGTTAAACATTCCCATAAACATTAATTTTAGCCATCATTCCTTAATTATTATTAACAGTTAAAGATAATTACAATAATCTGTCGCATTTCCTAGGGTGCTGACATATTTTGAGACATTTGCTCTTATTGGATAATAAAACGCTTGAGGAAATTCCAGTAGCTAAGAAGCTATCTGTCTTGGAGTTATTTTATTGATTATTTTGGAAAGAAAAGAAACATCCAGTTGTTTTCTTATATTTGAAAGATATTCTGTTAAAATTTCATTCTCAATGTGTACTATTTGGTAGTACTTAGATCAAGAAGGTAGGATTAGGTCATGAGAGTAGAGCCTTACAGAACAGAATTAGTATCCTTTAAAAAAATTTCTTAAAGCGCTCCTTCACTCCTTCCACCATGTGAAGATAGCAAAAAAGCACCAGGAAACGGGTTGTCACTAAAATTGGCTAGGGTCTCTATCTTGGACTTCCAAGCCTCCAGAATTTCGAGAAGTACATTTATGATATTCACAAGCCAGTCGATTTCATCACAATAGCCCAAACAGACTGAGGCAGTGTTTGTATCATTAACTTCATTCATGTGATTTAGGAGATCTGGATGAAGGAGCAAGAAGGAAGGATACCAGTGTGGTTGTTGAATGCCTGGTCTACACTACTGTGTAGAGAATTACTTCCTCACAAGGGCTTTTACAGTGTTCACCTCAGATTTAGAATCCCGTAGCCCCCTCTTCCCACTTTTCTACTCCTCCATTCAATCTAATGCCTCCCTTCCTCTCCACACTTTTGATGTCTTGCTTTGAATCCTGCTGGATATTCAGATTGTGTCACTGTGTTGTTGTCCTTCCCCTGTGCCAGGCTCTCCCTCAGCAACACTCATGACACTTCCACATCTTACCGTTCACTAATATTGATCAAGTACTCCCTGTGTAACCTCACTGAGACAAGAACTTCTGATAGAAAGTAAATCATCACAGCTCCTGCTCTAAAGAACTCTATGGTCTTGTAGGAAAAAGTCATACAGAAAAAAGAAGTTATTGCGTTCACATTCATCCCTGGGCTATTCAGACCACAGTTTTGGCTCAGATTTTCTTCTACCTTGGGACTTTGCTCTGTTTGGAAGAGCACGGGGCGAGGTATTGTTCAGGTCTCTCTAGGTAGTGGTGGTGATAGATGAGACTGATGGCATGTGGGTGGAGCTGCCCTGGGAGTGAGAGAATTCTACTTTCTGAAGTGTCATAGACACAGGATCTTTGTCATTTTAACTTACGTACCCATTATAAGGACAATCTGACAATACTTGAAAGAACTGCAGATCATAAGACTAGATGAAGTAAAATATGGCTTGTTTATGTAAAAATACTCTTGATCAGTCCTTATGCCCAGTAAAGACTGTGTTTATTGCTTAGAATTTCTGTCACTACTAATTTTCATTGTGAGCAGGGTGTCCTTGTGGCACAGGACCACTTTTTTAAGCACTGTGCCATACAAAGAGCAGTTGTAATTTCCCAGAATTCTTAATTTTTATTTCATGCTGTTACCTTCTTATATCTTCAAAATTCTGGGGTTCATTTCAGTATATTCACTTACACCATCAACCAACTTGTGAGTAAGGTCTAACTTCTACTAGGCACATTTCTAGAATAATCATAGTCAATGCTTGCAATTGATCAAACTGTCTAGATAAAGTTCTTTCATGGAAGTTCAGAACAAGACAAGGTGAAAGGTGGGGTGATCTGTATTTCTCTGGTTACTGCAAGTTCTCTGCAGCATTCTGTGGTATGAGACATATGAAACAAATATTTCATTTTGAGCTTGACATTCTCTCAGTTTGATATAGCACAGGCTCTCAAGGAGGCTACACACAGAAACAAGTTCAGTACACAATTCTAGGCATTCTATATCCAAGTTGGCAGATATTTTTTCTGGTCTCAAAAATCTGCTTGAGCAAAAATATTTGAGATGCTGTGGGCTTAGCTCAGTGTTACTGTGCATGCTGTAAGCTTTAGATTCAATTGCTACTACCAATATATCTCACTGGGTCTGATGTCTCCTCTTAGCTGATAGTACTAAAAATTAAAACAGAATGAGACAGTGCAACACAAATACTTCCCATCAAAGATTAAATGAGATAATATACGTGAAAGACTTTTGTAGTGAGCTACTGTGGGTTATTGATTATTTAACAGCAATATCAAGACAATAATGTCCTGTAAATGAGTCTGTCACCTTTCAGTGAAGCATAGCTCTGGGATGTTTACATATCTGCAATCTGACTGGCAACCCAAAACCTAATGAGCTCTAGCACAAACACTCAGAACATTAAAGCAGAGAGAGGACACTGTGAATATTAGTCTAACCAGTACATGCTCCTGTGGCAAAAAGAACTCCATTTTCCTCAATAGCTGCAGAAGTCAGTTCAACATTGAAGCCATGAGGGTCCATAATCTGGTATATTTGGATACCAGTCTCGAGTTCCCACACCTGTAGAAAACAGCAACAACAAAATCAAGCAATCTGCTCTTCAATTTGCAACAAAATTATACCACATTCAAAACAGCTTCCAAAGCAGTACTCTGCACATCTAGCACGTCTCAGTCTTTTGTCCTGAATGTTGGTTTAATCAAAGAAAGCTCTATGAGTTGGGGTGCTATCTGATAATCACAGTACTGTTCTGAAATGCGTTTGATGCAAATACAGGAGGGGAATCAGTTGTGACCTTACTCTAGGCAATTCTTGATTGGGGAAACACGGTCATTTGTTACTGACTTAAGTTTGGATTTTAAATGTCCCTAAAGACCCATCTGTTGAAAGGTTTCTTTTCAGCATGGCACTATGAGAGGCTGGTAGAATCTTTATGAGACAGAGCTAAGTTGGAGGCTTTAGTGTGGAGGACCCGGATGCCTCTCCTTGAGAGAAGCGCACTTGACCTTACCTTCAGATGTTGACATGTACAGAGCTGGCCAGGACACTTCCTTATCCCCCAACTGGTTTTAAGTATTGCAAGTGGGTCTAGTTGAGGAGCTAATGTGTAGTCTTTAAAGCAATGCCACAGGTCAGCGATGCCCTCTTTACAGCTCCTAAGTAGTATGTGTGAGCTAGGCCAGAGAGGCTATGCTGTTGGCTGAGAATGAGCCTTGAGCAAAGAGGCTACACCTTTTCAGGACTTGAAAATTACACATTAAAACTGAAGTATCTACTCCAAAACACTAGATACTACCCCAATCTGTGATATGCAGATTTCTCTTACTGTATGTCTCTTTCTCTGCATATTGCAGAGATGATTTCAGCTTCCTTCCTAGCCCAGCTTACAGCACTCACATACTTCCCGCCACTTTCATGGTCACTCATTTCCAAACCACTTCTCTCTTCATGAATAAATAAAATCTGAGTTTGGCCCTATGTTGAGGTCTTTGTTCCAGTTAGCCATTATTTTGACTGGACTTAGGACCCCTTAGCTCCCCACAACTCAGATATGCTTTAGTGACTTTATTCTCACATGCTCTGCACTGGAAGTGGTAGATTGGAACTAACTTTTTAGAAATCCAATAACTTACCCCTAGGATAACAAATGTAGACTTTTTGAACTGCAAGGAAGTCCAGAAGGGCTTTGTATACTTTATGTCATTAGAATGATGCCCCCAAAGGCGATATTGGGATCTCAGCCCTTCCTCTTCCTCTCTCTTACCTCCCGATCACAATAAGATGGACAAGTGCTCCATCTCACACTTCCCCCATGGTGTACATCCTCACTGCGGGCCCAGAAGCAATGAGGCAAATCAACCAATCTCCAAAACTGTGAGTCAAAACAAACCTTCCCTGTTAGTAAGTTGATTATCTCAGTATTCTGGTAGCTTAATGGAGAGCAAACTAATTCAGTACTGTAATTGTGAAGCAAGGTTAGCAGCAAGATAGAAATGTAACAGTTAAATGTGCAGCAGAGAAAAAAAGTCAGAACTGGTTTCATTTCCCAGGGATACTCATCCAAATTAATCAAGGATAGAATCTGTGGTGAGAAGTGTGGCATCTGAGATAGACCCGAGTGGAGGGGGAGATGATAGACTTAACATTATAGGCACCCGTCTGCAGGGGTTTTAGAAGAGGGAGAGGGAGGAATAAGGGAAGGGGGAGAGAGACGTTGATTGTATAATTAGATAATCCAGATACTTGTCAAAATACATCATTCTGAGCCAGGCATAGTGGTACATGCTTGTAATCCCAGCACTTGGGAGGCCGAAGCAATAGGATTGCTGCAAGTTCAAGGTCAGTCTGGACTACATAGTGAGTTCAAAGCCAGCCTGGATTACGTAGTGAGACCGTCTCAAAAAAAAACAAAAACAAAAACCTAATTTACTCTTTGGAAGCACAGTAGAGGTTGTAGATCTGTAGATTTGGTGGTTGGACCTCTGTCTTTGTGGATCTGCCAAGTTCAAATGTAAATTCGATGGTCAGCAGCAACAGCACAGAACTGGCAATACCAAAATGATAGCAACAGATATTGGGGATGGAGGCCGCAGGTACGCAAGGCTGGATATAGGGAGATATATTTTTCTTCAGAGAACTGAAGAACAGTTTTTTTCCCTTAGGTGAAAGACAAGTGTGAGTGTGGAGGGAGGAGCTGCTGAGGAAGTCTGGGGATAGCACAGGGCCAGCGACTGGGAAATACTACAGCCAGGATTTGAACGAAGTCAGGGTGTCCTTGGAGCCCAGGTTCTTAACTTCTGTGACTCCCTGAGTGTAGACAAAGTCCTTAAGGGAGAAAGAGGCGTGTGGGAGAAAGAGGCATGGGTCAGGTATGAAGTATAATCCCCGCTTATCTGAGCAGGTATCGAAACTCAGCCACATAAATTCCTTTCACTCCCGTCTTGCACAGCTAGCTTCTATTTAAAGGTGATTTCTGCCCACAAGCAGGATAGGTTTTACTTTTGTTTCTGTCTACTTACTTTCTTATTAGACATGATCAGAAATAAGTGAAATAATTGAATTCAGAAACCTTTGGCCCAATAAAATCACTTGCATATGAACACAGAAGATCAAACACTGAGAGAGAACTTCAAAAGTGTCTGGAGGAATGTTCTCTATGGGTCTGTATGTCTCCTTTTAGATATAAAAGGATAGACATCTGATGCAAACATCTCTAGCCATCACAGAGCTGACGTCAGTGGTTATAATGATGGACACAGCATGGCCAACTTCCCTGGCTCCTGAAAACAGTAGGGATAGAGCTAAAGGGATGGAGCATAAAGGTCATGGGTGTTCATGACAGGCATATCTAACCCAGGTCTTCTGCTGGACAGAAGTGGGGACAGTGGTTAAGGTGGAATGTCACTTGAGTGGCTTTGATAATCTACTCCAAGGATTGGTTAGGCACACTTCTAGGTATATTTGGATGGGTCATGAATATTTGGCTAGATCTATTTGGGTCTAGATCTGGCTCCTAGTGTGGTGCTGATCCACTGCTCTGCTCTCTGGCCACTATGAACTACGCAATTTTAATTCTACAATGCCTTTTACTAGATTTCCGCCTTGGAACCATTTGACCATGGACTAACTCCTCCTGAAACTATCAAATCAAACATCTTCTCTTTCAAATTATGGGTATTTAGTATTATTATGTCCCAGTCACAGAAAACTGACAAACATAGGGCAAGTTGTTTGGTCTCTCTTACCCTAGTTTCCTCATTTCTAAAATCAAATCATTATATATTCACCAAGAACTTTCATAAGAATTAAATGAGATCTTAATGTTGTAGACATTTTCCCCACACCTATAAACATTTTAGTAAACAATGATAGTTTCTTTACATTCCTTCTTAACGTGTACCCTCTAGTTTTAGCTCAGTGAAAGATAAAATATAGTTTTTCCCACAATGAAGACATCTGAGCATCTTTGAATTAGAAAAGTTCTCTAGGAACACTACATCTAGTTTTTAAAATAAAAAGATAAAAATATAAACTGTGAAAGCCTACAGGTTAATTCCCTTACTTTGACATACTTCCTTAAAAGTTCTATTTTGATAGTAAAAACTAGATTGATTGATTTATTCAAGATGTTCCTTGGTTGAAAGCAGTTTGAGTTGGTTTAAAATTTTTATTTTTCATGTATCCATGAAAACTTAAAAAGAGCTCCAATATAGGGTCTCATCACATGTCCTACCACATTTACTTAATCACACAATGATGTACCTGGAAGAAGAGAAATCCTATTTGCTCGTCCTTTTTCTGTCTGTAGAGTCAGTATGTACTCACCTTAATTATGGACTCAGAGCAGATAGTGAGTACTTGGTGAAAAAACTTGTTATAAAGCATGACATTGATTTCACGTTCATGAGTATGAGGAACCTGTTTTGTATCTTGTACCATCCTTGTAAGAGGATACATGTCTATAAAACTTGATCCTGGAACAGAAATAAGAATCCCTTAAATGCTCTATACTAGACGTTTAGGTTCACAGAAGATTTTATCCAACCAATCGGGTCTGAAAACAGCCAATCAATGAAACTAGTAGTATCAGGGCTTAGAAAATTTAATGACATGAAAATACATTCACTTACACTAAAAAGATTTTGAAAGATAAAGCAAATGTGATTTAACCAAAGAAAGAATGTTCATTTTGAACATTATTATTTTTCAAGGACAGGTCATTTAGACTTCATTGACATCCATTTTAGTGACCCAAATATCTTACTTCCTATGGTCTACTTCCTCCTTCCTTATATGCCCGTTTGTACTTCTCAGTCTGGTTCCTAGCAGTGATGGTGATGGTCAGCTTTCTGCTGAAGGCCAGCTTTTATTTAGTGTTTGAAATTTATTATTAGCACTTTCCAACCAACAAATTATAAAACACTCTGTGAGCATGGTTTTATTAAATATAATGAATGAGAATGATTGCAAGCCAATCATGGTAACACAAAATTAAGTAAAATTAATTTTCAAACCACCACATGGCAGATGCAGTTAACAAGGCCAGGAGATGGAGATCAAGCATTTTTGCGTTTATTACTAAGGGCCGCTGGCTTTGTTTTACGGGTGTACTATAATCTTCAAGTATTCTCAAAATCCACTAATTATTCTATTGTTGAGTCATGTCTAGAAGTACTGATAAAGTATTCTAGAAGTTCAAAAAAAAAAATAAAACATGTTCCCTAGTTTTTGATGTGGAGATCAAGTTACCAACAGCTGACTTTGTATTGGGTTTTTCAAATCTCTTCAAAGAAATTTCAATTTTGAAACTTCTAACAGGTGTTGCTAAACACTTTCTTTAGGTGTTTAAATTTTAAGTTGAAATCTGTTCATGTGTAAGGAAGGACTGAGACAGTTCATATGGTAATATTTCTCAATTCAGATATCTCAGTATGGAAATGTGAGAGGCATATGGTACCCAGATAGTCAAACCACACTTGGAGCTTCTTGGTAGGTGTTTTAACATTATGCCGACAGCAACTAACTTTATTTAGAATGGACTTAAACAAAGCTTGGTGTATTTATGGGCAAGTGACAGTTCTTTCTGTCTCTCTGTCTCTGTCTCTGTCTCTCTCTCTCTCATGGGGATTGCATGCAGGACCTTGCGCTTGCCAGGCAGGTGCGTAGGCTGCTGAGCTATATCCCTAGCCCCTTCTCTTCTCATTTTTTGGCTGATTGTATTACAATTGCAGAGAATGAATGTGGGTTCAGGAGTCAGAAGCTCTGAGATAAAATCCCAGCTCAGAATTTCTACCTTCTACTAGTTAGCTACACTGTTTGAGATGCAGGTTTTCCATTTATAAAATTAATAATTCTTCCTCACAAGATGGGGTCAGGTGATACAATGAAAAAAAATGTGCAAATGGCTGTTGTATTAATAAAAGCACTAAATTAAATGACAGTGACAATAACATTTTCTGCAAAGCCTTTTTAGCACATGCCACTGCTGTTGGTGTGGTATAGAGGAATAGTATATAAAATTGCTTCATTTGGATCAAAGCACAAATTAATAAACTTCACAGAATTCTAATATCAAGTTGATGTGTAAGTCAGTGTATATAATTTCAATAGTTAAGCGTACGTAGAGCTCTATATTTTTTGCAGGCAAAAATAGTCCCCAAATTATATACAATTGGGAAGAAATATTATTCTTTTTTAAAAATCCATTTTGTTTCTTCTCTTTTCTTGATATGTGAGCCCCTAGTTACTCTGACGATGTGGGATAGAAATGTTGAATGCAGTATTCAAACATGCTAGTGGGGTACTAAGAGGACAAATTTTCATGTAGTCATTCATACATTCTTTGTAGAGGGGGTCGTGTGGAGGTGGGTACTTACCACTCAAGCACAAAATGCTAGCTCCTTCCTAACCCAGCAAGAAAAAGCACCAACACAAAAATTAAAAATAATTACATTCTCCACCAGAGATAGCACCAAGCACTTCCCTTCCTTAATTAATCCCACAGTAACTCACAGCAGGTGGTCAGTGGGAATGTGCTTAGGAAATGCAGTTTTGGCTGGGTGTTCCAGAAGAGGAACTACTATTAATATCATTCGTTTCTCTTCTGAAGCTTAAGGGTAAGCATATGAAGTGTGTTCAAGCAAAATACCCAACAGGGTAACTTGTTTCTTTACTGTGTCTATCTAAGAGGCTGTAAGGGAAAAAAAAAAAAGGTAGCAAATCTGTTGGCATCAGCACTGGTGATCTGTCATCTTGAGTTTTATTCTCTCTCTGTCTCTCTGTCTCTCTCTCTCTTGCTCTTTGTCTAGAAAGACGTAATCAGGCATGGTGGTAACATGCCTGAAATCCCAGCACCTGCAAAAGCTAAGGCAGGAGGATCACCATGAGTTCCAGGCCAGACTGAGTTAAATAGTGAGACTTTGTCTCAAAACAAAACAAAACAAAACAACAACAAAGACAAGCAAATACAGTTGGGAGAGTCTGCATTAATCTTCCAATACTCTCATGAACAGGATGCATGGGGAAACTGCCTTGCTGCAGAAAAGGGGCTTATGCTGGGACCATCATCTAAGAGAGGATCACACTCAGAGCTGAGCATAAGAGCCAGATTTGTCCTAGACATAGCAGCTGCATTTCCTTTTACTGTGTATTCTTGGGTTGTGCATTCCTGTGTTCACGAACATAGAGAACTGACCTGTTATTTTCTTTTTTTTTGGTCTTTTTCGTTTTTATTGGTACCAGGGATCGAACTCACGACTGCCTGCTTGCAAGGTAGGTGCTTTATGCCACTGAACTAAATCCCCAGCCCCTAACCTGTTATTTTCAGAAAATTACTTTTATGTGTTTTGTCCATCTGGCCATAGAGTGATAAGAAAGCATGGAATTGAAAATAAGACCTGGCACATCATGGTTTGTTTGCAGTTACTCCTTCTTGGTCTCTTCCTACAGAACATGCTTATGTGCTTATTAAAAAAAGGTCAAAAACCAGGACATGAGTTTGAGTTCCCATTATTTGGATGCACCTACCTGTAATAAGCATGCCGTGTTTGGCATCATACACCATAGAATAAATCTGCATGTCTCCTGGTCCTCCCTGGCTGTCGTGGAAGACTTGTAGTAGGGAAAGAGTCTGTATATTCCATACCCTGAAAACCTGGGGGGATAGAGCTCAAAGTTCACCACTGTTTATACCTTATTTTTCTCAAGAGATTTAGTGAAGCGTTTTCAGAATCTGAAGTAGACACTTCTAAACTTGTGGCAGCATAAGATTTATATCATGAGCACACATTTGCTAAGCTCTGGTTTAATTCATTAATTTCAGAGGGAAATAGCAGCGGTGATTAAAGCTTTGCTTTGAGTCTACTTTTTAGAACTGGATTTTTCTATCTTCATAGAAGGGAATGAGAATTGGTATTTATTACTGTTTAAGAATTCAGGCTGGGTATGGTGGCACACACCTGGGATCCCAGCACTTGGGAGATTGAGGCAGGAAGGTCACCATAAGTTTGAGGCCAGCCTGAACTACAAAGTGAGTTCAAACCAATCTGAACTGCATAGCAAAACCCTGTTTCCAAAAAACAATTTAAAAAAAATTCAGAGGAATAATAATGGGAATATTTCACTGAGATTTCAAAGAACATTTTTCTCCTCTTGCCCAAACATGTAAGAATTATAGAGAGCAGTTTTCAGGGATGGAGCAGGAATAGTAAAAATACGGGGGACAGGAGAGGGAAAGCTATGTAATAATTCAAATAGAACTTGAGTTGATACTGGAGGATAGAAACAACAGTAATGTACAAATCTGGCAAAACTAGGTGAAATTTACACTCTGTCACCTGGAATAACTGGGTTGGTCTTATTACCATTTTTTAGCAAGTTACAGTATGACTGAATCTCAGGGGTTATACTTCCTACTCATACATAAACCCTAAATATTTTCATATTATAATAATAAATATTAATCTGTTTAAGTTGGAAAACAAATGTTTTTGAACTGACAGTGTGATTATGTCCAAACAAGCCTAATATAAGTAGAAAATATCAAGCACAAGATACATTTAGTTCATTTAGCTTACTAGATATTATAGCTTAGCTTAGATGTTAGAACACAGCCTACATGTGGGAAAAATAATTTAATACAAACTATTTTATAATAAAATGGTTGAGAACTAAACAGAAAGTAAAGAGCAGATTGTTTGTGTAGATCATAGAGTTTAAAAATCGTATGTTGAACCATTGTAAGCCAAGGACTCTATCTGTAGGGTAAATGGGTGACTATTTACAGAATGACATATAAAATTCTAGGTTGTGGCTTTGCCAACAGAGATACTGACTTTTGACTTTAAATTTTACAGAAACATTTTAGATATATATAATGATGACATTTATCATAAGGAATTCCGTACCTGTGCATGACATACATTTCCTATTCCCCTCTCTTCCCTTCAACCCCTTTTCTCTTGCTTGTTGAGATACTGACTTCTAACTTGAAACTTGTAAAGCTGAACTAGTGAATCGAGCACTTCACTTGCTAAGGTAAATTGGCCCTGCTATGCAGGAATACGAAGATGCTGAATCATCTGATTTAGGGAGTACTGGAAGGAGGCTTTGGTCAGAAATGTACCCACTGCACTCTACTATTATTTAGAACTTGTACAAATGTAATTTATTTCCTTTGTCCTGGTTTTAAAAATGCCAATTTTAAAAGAGGAGATAGAACACTGAACCTTTTCAGTCTTTTGTATCACAGACTAAGTGAGTTTAATGGATGATTTATGATTTTGGGTTAAGAGTCTAAAATAAGAGACAAGTAAATAAAGAGACCAAAGTGAGATCAAAGAGTGCCAGAGAAATTTATCTCTAATCCAATTGTTTCTGATTGTATCCTTTTGACTGACATACACTGATGGTTAATGCTCTTTCTGCTGTCTGTATGTAAACTCTGAGTAAATCACGAGAGAATAAGCAAAAGAGGGTTTGGATTTTGGTCCTAGCCCATCCTTTAGCCTTCTTAAGTCTCAGTTTTCTTGCTTTGATAGTGCACATAATGACATCAGTACCCTCTGCTTCACTGAACTGATATGAATACATCTGAAGTCTGGGGTGTCTTCTATAGAGTAATTCTATTTTCTTTTTCTCTTATTTCTCTCTTCTGTGGTTGGTTCTTCGGTCTTTTGTGTGTGTTTTAGGGAAGTGGCAATTTTGGGGTTATAGAAGGTACCAAGAGCTTCCTCCTCATTGATTGGCATCATGATTCATCCTCCTCTGGGTCTTTGTTTTTTTGTTTCACTGTCCTCCTCCTTTTATGCTCTTCTGATTACTGTCACTTAAAAGTGCTTCCAGGGCGGGAGATGTAACTCAGTGGCACAGTGCCTGCCTGGCTAGTGCAAGGTTATCAGTTTAATTCTCAGTACCAAAAATAAAATAAAATAAGTGCTTCCAGTTCTCTTTCCTTTCCCATCTCTGTGCATTCACACAAAGTGTTCCTCTCATGTACAATTTCTCTCAATGGCCTTTTCCATCTAGCTAATTCCTTCTCTTTCTTATAACCTGCTATATAGGGAAAGAAGGTTTGGGTCAAAAGAGTATTTGAAGTCCATCCCAAAAGGGGCTACTTCTTCTCCAATCTCAGTGACTATATAGAAAAGAGAAAGCAAAAAGAAATACCAAGTCTCCAAAGCAAGATTTAGAGACAGACAGATGAACACAGCCAAATAGTAAGTGCAGCACAAAGCAGGGAATGGGCTCAAGCGAGAGACCTGAGTGCTGGGTGGAGCAGCAGTGAAGGCAGACCAGACAGAACTGGAGGCACCGACTCACTGCTCCACCGCAGAGGCGGCCACAGGTCTCCCAGCTGGCCAGAGAGGGAGAGGCTGAGGGGCGCAACAGGCTGTGCTCTGTTCTGACCTGGAGGTGCATACCTCGGTGAAAAATGGGGTATCAGTGAGAATGGAGAATTAATCTCTGAGCTCTGGCTCGGAGATTAGATCTGCCTGTTTTGGTTTCTCAGGCACTTGGGCCAAGGGACCAGGTGGAGAACAGTATACATTGGGAGGTCTGAGCAGGAGAGAGAGAAGGGGGAGATATTAAAAAGTAACTAATTTTTAGAGAACCATAAAGGATGGCAATCCTTATGAATTAAGAGTTGGGAAGAATTTCTTAAATAAGCACAAAAACTATGAGCCACGAAAGATTGATAAATCTGACTACATTAGAATTTAAAATCTGTTGAACCAAAGCTGTGATTACCAAAGTAAAAAAGGTCTTATTAAAGAAAGCCTCAAATATTCATATACATGAGTTAAAACAAATGTGACATAGAGGTTAGGGATGTAGCTCAGTGACACAGTACTTATCTAGCATGTGGTTCAATTCCCAGCCACAAAAAATAAGTAATAAATAAATAAACAAACTTAAGTTACACAGAATAGTATGGATCAATTTCAAAATATACTGTTGGATTTTGCATAGAATATGCAAAATCAGAGTATATTAGGGACACTTACACATATACTAATGCTACAAAACATTGTGCTTGCATAAAATTAACAAAAAATGAATAAACATTAATTTCCTCTAGATAAACTGTTTTGGTCAGCTGTCCACTTTAGATGTCCTTTTTGAGATACCCATAATGCCTTTTTATGTTAATGTAATTAGTGATTATAACATGATGAATTGCTCAGGAGACTTTTTTTCTAGACTAGAAGTTTCTTGAAGGCACAACTACATCTTACTTGTGGAGGATCAACCAGAGACTCTCCCTAAAAGAATAATTATCTCCATTTTGGCTAATCTTATCCTTATTTTCATTTATTGATATGTCAGAGCTGGCTAGGACTTTTCCTTATCCCTTCAATTGGCTTTAAGCAATGCAGATGAGACTAGCTGAGGTGCTAATGTGTAGCCCCTTCAAGCAAAGGGACAGATCAGAGAGCATGTGAGAGCCAGGTGGGAGGGAGGGCCATGCTCCATCTGTGACTGGAGTTGAGCTTCCAAATAAGAGTCTATGACTTTCCAGCACATAAAAACTTACACACCAGAGCTAAAGTCCCAACCCCAAAACATTGGATACTCCCTCAACTTGTGTTATACAGATTCCTCCTCTTGCGTATCTTTCACTCTGCATATTGCAGAGGTGATTTCAGGCCTCCTACCTAGCCCAGCTCACAGTGCTCATATGCTTTCCACCACTTTCACACTCATTCTCAAGCCGCTCCCCTCCTCATGAATTAATAAAATCTAGGTTTGGCCCAGGACCAAGGCCTTTGTTCTTCTTAGGCATCACCCTAGCTGGACTTAGGACCCCCTTGGCTCTCCAATTACATATATGCTTTAGTGTCTTTATGTTGGGTTGCACCAGAAGTAGTAGACTGGAATTAATTTGCTAGAATTCTAATAACTTTTCCATGGGATTACAAATAAAAACTTCCTGAACTGCAATAAGGTCTGGAAAGGCTTTCAATACTTCCTGGACTCTGTTTGCCCAGTCCCTTTTTAGTTTGGTTGGTTAATTGGTTTTTGATCTGTTCACTTGCTCTTTTTTTTTTCTTTTTTTTTTTTTTCTTGTCTTTTTCCTTTTTATCGGTACCAGGGATTGAACTCACGACTACCTGCTTGCAAGGCAGGCGCTTATGCCGCTGAGCTAAATCCCCAGCCCCGACTTGCTCTTTCTGTTTTAGGCCAATAGAACATTATAGTGGCTCAGTACTGCACATATTCTTACTATTTTTTCTGCTTGACTATAACAATAAATAAGTGGGATTGTTTCAGAAGCATAATCCATTTACTTTATTTTGAGGTGGCCATAATATGTGAATGACTTGGGGAGAAAAGAGAGTAATGATTTGAATGAGGTCATATGCCGTTCATTCTCTTATTTCATCCATTTGGGGCAGGAGTTGACAGTGTCCATATGTTAGAGTTTAGCATCTCAAACTTGGCCCAACCAACAAAAATCCGGGTCAGCCCTGATGGGACTTAGAAAGAAATCAGGGCAAAATATTTCAGGAGAGTAATTTGCACAGTGAGAAAAATCACAGAAGACAAGTAACTACCATTACAGGAACTTTGGGTGGCAGAATGGAATACTTATAAATTGTAAATTAAATATTGCATATGTGCAAGTGAACTTAAATAACAAAAAACTACCAT